ACACGCTGCATCTCTCCTTCTTTTCTCATCTCTTCTATATCATCTCTTTTATTCTCTATGTATTCCCCTCAGTTGTTGGGGTTGCTTGTGGCCCAGTGTCTTACCCTGCACGTCTCAAAAAAACAGTGCCATTTGTAAAACTCTCTGATCACACTCCATGGTGGGTGGCCTTACTAATTGGACCTGGAGAGGTTGGGCCGAGTGGAGTCGGCCCTGCCAGGTTCCACTTGGGCTCTGACACAGGCGTGGGCAGAGGCGTTCAATTACCATGTTGGATGGTGATTTGCAGTAAGAGGTCTGGGAGCAGTTTGCCTGAGCGCAGGGGTAATGAGAAGAGAAAAAAGAGCATGTGACAGTGAACTTGCAGAGAAAATTCTGCCTGGAGAGAGTGATGTGAAATATGTGAAATATAGGTGTTATTGGCTCTCTTAATGCACAGACAGCAGTATCAATATTCTCATGTCACGTTCAGCAGGAGAAACACGAGTTTATTTTAAACAGTGACAAGAAGACTCAAAAATCAGAGGTTCCTCTCAGCCAATCAGCATAAAGACATCCCACAGGCAGTAGTGAAATAGTGAAACGGATAAAGGTGTGTGGTGTGTATTTCTTCTTGCTCTATTCTATAGTCGCAATTTTTCTGTTTTATGTCTTTTATAGCAACGATTCCATCATCTTCATTCATCATCATTTTCCATACACCATCACGTTTTTTTTTTTTAAAACTGATCGACCAAGCCAACAAAAGAGAAAACATAAACTAAATCAAAAAAAGAGGGGCGGGGGTTACTATCTTATCTAGTTTCATTCCATTTTGTTATGTGGTCTCTAATTGCCAAAGTTAGGAGGTTGAGGTATGATTCATAAATGATGAAATGATTCAAAAATAAGGTGTATCATCAGCATGTTGAAAATATCCAAATTAATGCATTGTCTTTTTTTATTGAATCAGAGTTATTTCAATTTTGGTCTGAGAGGAGGCAAAATTAAGATTTTCTTCTTCTACACCTTCTTCCTCTATTTTCACTCTCTCACAGTGTGTGGAACATATAAGGGATTAAGCAGATGTATGAGACTGTATTCCTAATGGACATTAGAGATAATGACATCTTTGGGAAGTGTAAGTTGAATTGAATACAAGCAACTTCAGAATTATTCCTTATTATTAGCGAGTCCTCCTGAAATTGTTTTTATTGTTTGCTGGAGCTTTGGATTAACCAAAATGATCTGGTGATTTAGACGGATGGTTTGACCTAAAAAAGTAGCTTCTTCTTCTTCTTCTTTCACTGATGGTTGTACAGCACAGAACAAGTGCACCAGGTTCTGAGGAATCACTGGCTTTCCCACAATGCAATGTCTCTGACTACTGCTGTAGTTTATCTGAGGACGTGGCAAAAGACTGTCCACATCAACTTGGTTCGTGGACAGACTGTTAGCATTTTTTCATTGTTATTATTGTCCATATATTTTACCCCTAATGTCTTTAATAGTCAATATAGCAGCCTTGCAAAAACTGTGTTCATGTAGCCGTTGGACTGCTTGGATTTGCAAACTTTCTATGGTGCTGGGGGGTTTGTCGGTGTGGAAACCAGCATGGTTGCAGTCATGTTTCTAAATTGCAGAGTCGCTGTGAATATTGGAAATCTCGTAGTGACTGGGGTAAAATATAGACCCCCACATGAATGAAGCTTTGCCAGTGCTGCTGCTGGATGGATAAGATGGTTATGAGGGGGAGCCCCGGGCACCACAGCCACAGAAACAGATCTGCTGTCCCAGCCCAACACACACACACACACACACAGTCCCCCACACACACAAATGCCCACACACCCACACACACACAATCTAGTCTGTGATTGAAGGAAGAAAATAGTTTTTTACACATTAGCATGGAAATTGAATGAATATGATTTCACACAAACACACATATATATGCTATGTTGTGACAGAAGTCATTGCAAGGGCATCTGCAGTCATCAGTGATGTTTATTAATTGTTCATTTGCATTTGTGTGTGCTCTGAAAATATACATTCAGTATTTGTAACGTTAAACAATAAACAGTTTGTTCAGTTTATTTTGACAATGACTAAATGTTTCACATTTCAACACAGCTGTTCATACGGGTGGATGTGACTGCTCAGCAGACCTTGACTGAATGGTTTGTGGCCACACTGGGATTTAGAGAGCAAAAAGGACTTTCTGCTTTCTGCTTCTGTTGGGGGCTGACGCCAGTGACTATGTGTTGTAAAATCACACTTCCTGTCTCTGTCTGCTGCACCTGGCTGCACCTGCAAAGAATGCAGAGGATTTGTTGCTGTTGTGAACGCGTCTATACAGAAAACCTCCTGCTGCGTTGTGCATGTATCTAATTGGTGCTAAAGTTTGGACCACCAACATTAAGTTGGATCAAGGGGTCCACAAATGATTCATTCAAACCACTTTGCAGTTCATATTTGTGAATTGTTATACCTTCATTATTTCTCAGTTTTCAGCTAGGGAGCTGGAGTTTTAGAGAAATAACAATGACTGAATTGGTTTAAGTTTGAGTCAACAGTCCGTAAGTGGATGACGTCGACACGTCTGCGATCATTAAACATATGATAGGACACTTGAGTCTAACGCTTTGATGCTTTCATATTAAATGCCTATAACAGTGTAGTTATTTTGAATTTTTTAACAAGGCCACTTGGGGACACAGCGCTCTCTTCATCTAGTTGACATCACATTGTGATGTTGTTGCCTTTAAAGTTTTATGCACTTCTCAGTGTTGTGTAGTCCCTGCAGTGACAAATCATGTTTGCACCTTCATCTGAGCACTGAGCCAATAAACATGAGGGATCTCAACAGACAAGAGAGAATGTAAAGCTCAGTATGACTGTTTGTCTTTAATTTCAAGCTTTTTCTCTGCGTGGGGAGTTTCTGTCTGTGTGTGCTCTCGTCCATGTGCTGCAATGTGCACAGCTTCACTGCTGTATGTGTAGAAACAAACAGATATATTTAGGTTTTGTCTCCACAGCAGTTTTCTGTTCTTACACTGTTAAAGGGCTATTGAGTGGAAACGTGTTTTTCTGTTATTAGGAGGCATGTAGCCATCTGAATAATGCATCCCGAACACTGCCTCGTTATGGCAGCGTATACAGTAATGTTCAAGGCCCAGAGTGGCACCATAATGTGCCGCCCTGTACGCTGTTAAATATACATGAGTGGTGAAGTGGCTTTCTTTGTGAATAACATTAACTATAGTGTTTTAAGGGTTTGGTGGACTAAGACTGGGATTTGGGTTATTGTTTGCAGGGACTTGCATGACACACAATTTTTAACCACGCAATAAAATTGTCCTAAGACTCACATTAGTGTTTTTATGTCAGCTCCTGTGGTAGCCAAATATTTTGCACGTGTTGAGTCTCATCTGAAGTGATCATCCGTAACAGTGTCAGGGCTAATGATGCACCAGCGCCAGTTGACTAACAACAAAAGGATACCTGATCATTTGGAAATAAAAGTGATTTTTGAGGTAACAGCAGTTGGCTGTCTTGGTTGTCTTAATACAACATTAACTGCGTGAGTTAAATTGTCCTTTTAATCTAAATTAGTTCAATGTCAAACTGTTTTCATTCATCCAAAGCTGAAACCTGCAGGAGGTGATTCTTTTGGGCTTCTAATGAGAATGAAACTAATTCTAAACACTATATTGAAATATTATCTCCTTGAACAATTATTATGTTTAACAATTACCAATTATCATATTCTCCTGGGGAAATAAGTGGGGTCTTTTAACTCAAAAGCACTTGACAGTTCAAGTTGCATTCACCCATTCATGAACTATGAACTGGAGGTCCCAGATTTCAAACCAAAGACCTTCTTTCTCATTTACTTTAACTATAACCCAGGCAGAGGAAAATGAAGTGAAGTGAAGAAACTGTAAATTGTTATATAAACGTAAACATGATAAGTGTTATAACAAAGTAATCACACACTTAGTAGCTATTTCCAGGGTGCATTCCTATAGTAATCTTTTCTTTTTTTGTAAGAAAAAAAGATCTAGATTTCTTGTACCCTGACTTATTCATTGCATTCTTCTTCACATTACCTTTATTTGGCTGTTGGGCTACTTCTCCTGAGGCCTTGTGAAGTGAGGGCATATGTGGATGAAATGCAAATATTTCATAATGGGTCATTATAAAACTGCACATAACTTCTTTTAACTTCCCTCAACGATTTATTTTGAGGAAATAAGGGAGCTTTGTTACTTAAAAGTGAGGGAGGGGGCAGTGGAATCTCACACATATTCTTACTCTCACTGTTTGCCAGGAGGTGGTCTTGCCATATGATAATTATGATAATGATGGCACCCTGCCATCAGTGTGTGCTGCCCATTGTGAAGCTAAGCTCTCCATAATCTTGAATGGGGGCATTTAGCCACTTGGAATACATGCAGATAGACAGATTTCAGTGGCTAAATATAGGCTAGGACAAGGATTTGAATGCTAATGATGCTTGATGCGTTTTCTTTCACCTGTGGGCATTAAAATGATAATGTGGCATCTGCTAGCAAAACTGCCCTTTGAATGTAGTTCTAGCTCAAGAAATATCTGCATTTAGTTTCAGCACTGCAGTAAAAATGAAGATGGAGAAACAGATAAAACTGAGTGTAAAACAATTTAACCTTCTATTAGGGATGTACATCTGAATAATCAATCTAGTTTGGGTTTTTATCCGCTCCATCTCTCTAGCTAGTCTCACCAATTACTCTATTAATAAAAAAAAGATGGACAGTGTCTCCACTATCTACCATTGCACAAAAATTAGGCCAACATTTCTTGGAATATTATGGGTTTTAAAAATGTCTGGTATTTTCTTTATGGGAAGCGGCCATTTTAATTACAGCGATCAACTTCCCAGGTGCACATGTTCCGCCAAAACAAGTCCAGCTGCCCAAGAAGATAAACTATGCGACTAATCCTCATCTTCCTCCTGCCTCTGTCTCCCTCCTCTGTAGTTGGTGCTACCGGAGTATTCCATCCATGGGCTCTTCTGTATCATGTTCCTGTGTGCCCAGGAGTGGCTGACTGTGGGCCTCAACATCCCCCTGCTCTTCTACAACACCTGGAGGTAACTATCCAATCCACTGCATTGTGTGTGTGTGTGTGTGTGTGTGTCTGAAACTTTGCTAAAAAGAAACCTATGCTGGAAGAGCTGTCGATAATAATGAGACTTGTAGAAGTTGTTTGCCAAAAACTATACTTGAAGTTGCCAAACCTTGCACATTGTTGAAACAAAATTTGCTGGGCATAATTTCTCCATAATCACAGCAAAAGTTGCCTATGCAAATGTATTTATCTTTTTAGAATGCAAGTAGTATTGCATTGAATGAGGTTTTCCTTATTCATCCCTTACCAAACCTAATCAGTTGCTGCTGTAAAATACTTTCTTCTCTAAGAACAATGTAATAACCCACACACAAAACTGTTCAAATTACTTGGTACCACATACAAAGTTTTAGAGAAACACAAACTCTTTTTCAAAAATGTAACTATATATTAATGAGACTATATGTCTTCAGTAGGGATGAATTGGCTTGGGACTGAAGGTAAGGGAACTTAACCTTTGCATTCTAATCAAAGCTTTTCGAGGCACATGTTGTCGTGCTTTGTTCTGGCTTCTTCTGACATTACTCCACATCACGATACACCACCAATGAAGCTGAATGAAATGTGTGGGTACAAGCAAGTATATCAGTGAGGTACACATCACGAGCCCTTAAACAGCAGTGTCTGAAAATAGGTCACCAATCAGCGATCTTCAGATTCCTATAGCTGCTCCTTCTGTATCTGATTTTGTCTTTGTTGCTGCTCTTCCCGCTGGTCGCGGGTCGGACGCGGGCTGCTGGCAGCCTGATTGGTTTAAGCTTGTGTGCTCAGCTAGTTGAACTTACAGAGTGAGCGGAGAGCCAAAGAGAGAAAAACATCTTGCTGTCTCATTAATTGGAGACTGTGCCAGATGCCCACCAGCTACTGGTGCTGCTTCCTGCACAGCTGAGAGAGGGGGGGGGGAAGACAAGGAAGAGAGGGGGTAAGTCATATAAGCAGGAGGATGGAAGGTGAAGGAGGGAGTAGCTGGGGGCGGAAAGGTGAGGTGAAGGGGAAGTGAGTGAGTGATAGGAGAGCGATCTAATATGGACAAGGTGATGCAGAGGGGAGTGAGAGGGGGAGGCAGGGAGTCACTGATGGTGGAACAAAATGAACATGCAGCTCATGGATACATGCAGCATCCATGTATCACAGCATCAAAAGGCAGGGCGTGTATATGCGAGGACTGTTTTGAAAAGGCAGATTCACACCGATACAAATGATTTTGAGAGGTCTGACAATTCAAACTTGTATTGAAGGATGTCTCATTGCAAGGAAACCAGTGGTCGTAAATTGCTCTCTTGAAATGACTCACTTTCAGTGGCTTCAGAAAGTAATCAGACCCCAGCTCTGAGACGAGGACTGTGAGTGCATGAGGAAAAGGATTATCTGCTCTGATGAGACAGAAATCAAACACAAAACAAATGTTCCTGTTGTTGTCTGTGTCTTATAAAACACCTCATATACCTGGAAGCATCATGCTATATGTGGGGAGTGGTCTTCTCAGCAGCAGGGACAGGGAGTCAGAAGGATGAATGCAGCCAAGACAAGTACTTGAAAAAAAAAAGAAACCTGGTTGAGGCTGCACTTGACCGTGAAGATGGTTCACCTTTCAGCACGACAATGACCCTGTGCATAAAGTCAAGATGAGAATGTGGACTAACAGAAGTGGACTAACCCAAAGACCAGACTAAAAAAGCCCTGACACCATGTGCCACAAGAAGACTCGAAAAGACGCTTTGCCCTTTAGCATTAGCATTTGTCTATTTACAAAAACAAAATAAAATTGAAGCCACTTCGTATTTGGACAGAAATCAATACACTGATGTTTAATCTGTTCTCACAGCTTTAACATTAGCTTTACAAAATGAAGCGTGTGTCCTGAGGATGATGAAATAGGAAAGGCCAGTGACCATTCAAACACAGTTTGAAGCTCTTCACTGGAGCAGTTGATAATACCCACATTTAAAATGTACATTTGTTCAAAATATTAAATGTATTCCACTTTTATGTCAGTTTAATTAAGTCACAAGTAATTAAGAGGTGTCAAGATTTCAACATCTCATTATTGCCTTTACTGAAAGTCACCACTGTCCTTGAGTGGTGCAGCCAAAGCATAGAACATCTGTGGGGAGACATGAAGATGACAGTTCACAGTCTCAAGAAGACTCAAAGCTCTATCTCCCTTCCACAAAGGGCCAAATTGAGACAAAAATGTAATCTGATCCAATTTTACAATACGAGAGTTTTTCTCAAACCACTGTATATTTCTTTTGGGGTTCCATTTTTGCTAACTAATGAAATAATTCTGTCTTAAATGGTTGGGTCACGGAAACTGAGCAGCACAGGCAGGGACAGGTTTAGAGACACTAAGGATGTTAAAAACACAATTCCTCACTATAGAGTGCTTCATATGCATCCATGATGATATTAAACATGAGGCAGCCCAGTAAATTTTGTGCCAAGGGCTCTGACTGTTTGACATTTCTGCTCAAACTACTGAAAAATATTACAATCTTGAAAATATCAAAACATAATATTTGAGTGTGTTTGTACAATTTGGGAAATCTGCTCTTCTCATATAAACCTGTTTCACTGCTTATGTGGTACACAATCAAATTCCAGGAAATGTAAGGACTACTTTGCAACATGGAAAACATGCAAATAAATAACATACAGCATGGAAGGGGGTTCAGACAATATCCTGATTCAGAATGGCTGACATGTATATTGCTGCAATGTGGATTTTTCCACGTCAACTGTGGATCAGTGACGCATGTAGCCCAAGGGGAGATATTAGGTGAAATATAAATTGCTCAAGATAAAAGGATAAAGGGGGTATTTCCTAATTCGATCCTCTAATAATGGGAACATGTCCCTCAGCTTTGTCTTGTACTACAACTCGATGACTGATGGTCCACAGGGACTTGGACAGTGTTTCTCAAAAGACATTTTGCTGCTGAATACAGTTTGTCAATGCTTGTAACACCACAGATGGAACTATAGAACTACAATCACCTCCAGTGGCTCTAGAAATATCCGAGATGAATATCTCAGAAGCTCTGCATACAAAGTAGGTATCAATAGCTGCAACTAATGGTAGATATACCTTCTTTCAGACATGCACTTTATTACAGATAATCTCCTGAAATTATCCAGGCCATCGAAAAAGCAGAATAATAAAATATCTCAGGATGGAAAATAGAAGCCATATACGTAGAAGACACTGAAGAAGTTGCCAACTTGGAAAGACAACAAGAGCTTTGATAAGGGCAGACTCTGGTGTCGATGTGCTGTAAACAAAAACACGTGATCACTGCAGTGGAAGAATAAAAAGTTACATCCTGTGTGGTGCACCACCCCTTGATCGCTCCGAAGACGTTAACAGTGACTTTACCTTAGATTTAGGAGTAGTACAGTGTGTGCAATGCTGTGTCACCAGGATGATCTAAGTTAAAGTAACGATTTTGTTTGAAAAGTCTCAAGTCCCTCATCGGCCTGTTAGGGCTGTTACTTACTCAAAGTGTGACAGAGCAGCACGCAGACAGACAATGTTCCCGGCCTCAGTGGAGAATTAATGATCACATTAGTTGTGCGATTACGTAACTGGCTGCTCCAATATTTGCTTGTTTATCAAAACAACTAAGTTCTCACAATATGTGAATGTGGGTGTTTGATTGAAGATTTTATGGAAAGCTGGCGATGTGCAGTTTCTTAGAATGCTTTGGGTGCCAGCTGAATCATTCTCAAAGTGTGTGTGTGTGTGTGTCTTTTTTAACATACTGCGGAAGATTTGTTTATGCATTTCACTCTTGTGTCATCTGTTACTTTTGCTCAGGGGAATAGTGTAACACATGGTGTTGTGTTTTTATTTTAAATGTAAATCAAATTATTAGCAAATCGTATTATATTACCTTGTTTACCTCATCATCAGTCATTTGTGCATGTAAATCTTGCAGGAATACATGATGTTCAGTGGCTCATTACAAAGACCCCTGTGTCACTCAGACTACATCAAGATGCATTTTCTGCATTATGAAGAAGTCACACATGCATGAGTCATACACACTTACTTAGTGACTGTACATTGTAATTAATTCATGACAACCAAATGTGCAATGTTTCACATTCATTACCAACCTAGAACATGAATGAACATTCAGTATGGCCATGCATTAACCATCTGTTCACCTGGGTTACAACAGAACAGGCCACATGCATTAGTTATGATGGCAGCTCTCTGGTTGGACCTCATTACCCATCAAACCACTCAAACCATCATTTGAATGTGAAATTCATTACGATGGTCTGTATGGACTTTATGTCCAAGAAGTAAGAAGAAGCAAACCATCTGAATGCATCTGGTCTTTTACCATAATATTCAGTAATCCGCTGCTACAGATCCCTGTTCATTTGTATCAACTCTGGGGTCCATTAAAGGCAGATTTCACCCTATAAAAACACCAAGATCCTGCAACAGCTTTCCCTCAAAGCAACAGTCAGCAGTTACAATTCCCTCCTCATGTGACTTCTCAGAGCGACTTGCTTTCATAATTGTAACAGCCCCACTGAGATAGGTCTCACTGGGACGTAAAAGCTCCTGGAAGGATCCAACAATTCCCCCAGCCCCCTACTCTGCTATTAGTCACCACCAGGTTTTGGTGACAGCACACATCTTCATTCGACACCGCCTTGAGAGAGGGAGCTGTTTGTGATTACAAATACTGATTATGCTAAAACCTCAATAATATTATATGCAGATTATCTTATAGGGTGGAATTTCTCTTCAGCCATAAATCAGTCAGCTTATAAAGTAATTTGAAACAGGACAAAATTAGTCTTTGAATCAAGTTAATGCATAGACATTGGAGTTGTAATTCACCAACTGAGCTGACAGGAGGAAGAAACCCCACCCCTGATACCTGTGCACAGACCTGGGTCAAAATACATGTATATTTGAACATGTACTGCAATACTGAATCATGCTTTGTTTATCTTGTTGGAAACAAAGAGTTTCACGACAAGATAAGTCACACCAACTTCTTATTGAGATACTGTATATCTGTGGACTGTTTGCTGCTACCCTTACTTTTTGCTGCGCCTGTAAAGCTTTCCATTCATGGCACATACGTAATATGTAGTCATTTGAAATTCACAGTAATTTCTGGAAACAACGTGCCTTAGATTCAAAGAAATATACTCATATCAGTTATATTGCTTAAACATGGTGACTGTCAGTGTTTAACCTTCCGAGGCAGCTGGATTCTGCACAAAACAAGAATTTAACTAGTCAGGCTCTAAGCAATTTGCATTTGGCTGAACTACAGTGGTCAAAAGAACCATGCAACCACACTCCAAACTCTTTGTATACCAAGCATCTCTTCCACTACAGCAACATAAACAGCATGTTGAGAATTCTAAAGCTTGACAGGCAAGAAAAGGAGTCCCGCAAACAGTCAATTACATCATGCCTATTCAATTACTAATTCACCCACATCTTCTGCATGATGGTGCTCCGCCTAACTCATCATGCCATCTTTGTCCATACTTTGTCTTTCCCATTTCCTCCGACATCTCCCTTGCCTCCCTCCCTCCTCCTTTCCCCCTACCCCTGGGTTCTGGAACGGGTCAACTACCCGCGGTGTGGTCTTTGCCCTCTGTGGTAGGTACTTTCATTCCCCAACGGACACTAAGGAGCTGCTCTACGACCCGGCGTCCGTGATGAACGGCGACACACTCAAGTTCTGCTTGAAGGAGGCGTGGTGCAAGCTGTCCTTCTTCGTCCTCTCCTTCTTCTACTATCTCTACTGGTGAGCACATGGCTGCTGGTGTGGGAAATGATTGGATTACATGTAAAATAGATTACATTAATCTGATTGAAACAGCTAGAGTTTACAAAAAACTGAACTGAGGTTACTTTTTTAAAACATGAATTAGACCTGTTTTTAAAGGAAAATGGTGAAAACAAAAACAAGGACACTCAAAATTGACACATCGCTTTTGATTCCAGTTTCTTTTATGTGGCCGATTAACTTGTTTGATTCCCCAGTTCTGAAGAAGCATTGTGAGTGCAAATCACTGAATAAAGTAACCATTTCTCTGGCAATCACATGCAAGTTCTCTCATGTACTGTAGGTTTTTAGGCTAATAATTTGGGTTTGTTGGGCCATTACTGCTAATGCATGTGATGTTAAGAGAATTTGATTCTTTACTTCATTGACAAGCACCACTGTAATGCTGACATGGATAAAACGTCTTTAGATTGCTTCTTGATTTAACATGTGTCTTGATATCTACCTTTGTTTTTGTTAAATATCTTTCCATTGAAATGCACTCAATGTTCCTGTCCATGTCTAACAATGCTGTTATTAATCACTCCGGATTCCTGTTCCATGTGTCATGTGGGTGCTGCAGTGTGTGGAACCTGGAAATATCCCTCTAATAGGTCTTATCAATGGAAACACTTAAAGGTACAATCCTTATATTTTTTTTTTATCTTTTATGCTAGGATAGTAAGTTGAATTGCTCTGAAGAAAATTTGACCTAAACAATCTTCCATATGGCTACCACTGTGTTTCATAAAATGATATGGAGGCCAAGTTTGCCTTCAATTATTAATATTTCATGCATGGCTGCTGTGGCTGTATGGCTTGTAGCTGTAAAGCCACGTAGCTTGGGATTTTTGTGGAGCCATATCAGTTGCAGATTGTACTTTGGGGATTTGGCGTCTCTGTAGACATGGTAGTATTAGTGCAGATCAAAGTCGATTGTTGATTACAAATGATTCCAGAACCCAAAAAGGATTGCAACTTTAACATGAAGTTGCTCTTGTATGTGTGTGATAATGCTGTGATAAAACATTTAACATATGCTGCTAGGCTGGTTAGGTCCCACCCTTGTATGATGTGCTGTTGATATGTCTTTTTAGGCAGCAGGTATGATTGTATGCTGTTAACATGTTTATCACAGCAATACCACACAGGTAGAAAAGCAACATCATGAGCAATGATAGTAAGTGTTGGTCTTTTTCTATAACTCAAGATATTTTTTGTGTAGTAATGTGATTTTAATAGAAATATCTTCACCAGAACTCTAACAAGTTAACCTATATTGTTAATGACAGTATATCATAAAATCAAGATATGCCAGGGAGATGAGACACTGCTTTGTGTTGATCCTCTGGATGTTTTTCAAGATATTTTATCTACCTGGTCTCATTCCCTTGGTAAAAGCAATTTGCTCTTCTAAAGATATTATCATACTGACTTTAACGTCGTTGATTATGGTAGAGATGATGTCTTTAAATGTTCAAAGCAAAATTTCACACTACAGTATACTCCCTCCTGGCATTATATAGTAGCAATAATTAGGAAGGAACAGAAAAAAGGGTTACCTATTGATTGCTTATTGATTTATGCTCACATCCCGTTCATTTTCATACCAGTGTCCAAATCAGTCTTGAGTTCCATGTGTTGCTTCAACAAAAATGACACTTAAGATGTGACTTGTAGAACTGGTCATTTTAAATTTTTAACCCAATTAACTATAACATAAGTTTACATACTTTGTTTTCTAACTGTAAGTAAAGGAAATTGTGCAAACTAGTAATGTAAAGTAGATGTATAACTCAAAGTTAGAGTCGCCAAGAGGGCGACAACGTTTTACACCATTACTGTTGTCTTTGACTATATTTTATTAGTGGAGACAATACAGTATGTCCTGGATAGTGTGTTTTGTTCATGTGGACACTGGCCGACTACAGCTGTAAACAGAGCATTCTTCCTGAACTTAAATCATCTTGCTTCTCCATCTCACTCCATCCTTTCCTGCTCCAGCTCATGTTGGATTGATCTGATGTTTTAAAGACCACTGACAGCAGCAGCAGCAGCAGCAGCACCAGCAGATGTGAGGTATACCCCTCTACAAAGCAGAGTGATGGCCCATTCACTTTCAGTTACACCGAGTTCAAGAGGATATGTCTGTTTTCACAATTGAGATTCATTTCGACATTAAACATGGTCTGATTTTTATGTTATACCATGATAATGAAGCTGAATAAGTCATCAATCCTACTAAAAAAAATGTTTCTATAGTCCTATAGGAAGGATACCTGCAGAAGTGCATTTTTGAATTATGCATGATGTTATTTTCTGACTTATTTTGACTTCTTCTTAATGTCACATGTCATATTGATGGAGAATAATTGACCGATAAATATAAGACTGAGATTATCCCAATCAGCTCCATGAGTTAATCATCCATAGATGCCTTTCTACTTGATATTCCCAACAAATCAGACCCTCTGTTGATTCATTTTGCTCGCACACACAGACAGAAGTGACAGCAATACCCTACAGTCAGCATGCAGGGTAAACAAATTGCTGGTCGACACGAAGAGATGATTTGATGAATAAATAGAACTGGTTGAATTGGAAGTGAAGAGACCTGACACCTGCTCTGTGGGGCTTTGTTTTTGTTTTCTTAAATCATGACACTCTCTCTCACCGCTCCCTGAAACCAAACACACTCCGACTCACTCTCCTGCATCTGTGACCGAAAGATCCTCCACACCCTCACGATAAATCTTACACACACTCACGCAAAATCCCATATATACACATAATGAAATTGTGCATGGCCTCACAGACACAGATGAAAACACACTCTGCACCTGAGCACTCAGCATCACACCTGGGTGAGGGGGGATGTAAAATACTTTTTGGTTGGGCAGTGGAGCGTATCCAGTGCAGATGACCCACTGGAATTACTCTATAACTCTTGACTTTGTCCATCTGGGCGACAGCAGGAGGAAAGAGGCTCAGGGGGAATTGAGCTGATTAATACATTAATAACTCCACTCATCTATTTACATTATATTCTGTTTGTTGTGATAGATCAATGTAATGTTTCAGTAGATAAATCAAGACCTAGAAAATCTGGGAAATAAATCATAATATCAGTTTACATAAATCTCACTTTCCTCAGCAGAACGACGCCCTGCCTGAATAACAGCCTCCCTCAGAATGTGACCTCTGATCGTTACCCTCCAGCCTCTCTCTTCCCTCTCTCCTCTGAGACTGTTTGTAATGTGATGCACTCAGGTGTCTAATCCTTTTTTTCCCCATGAAAGAAGAATACAGGCTTTAGAATTTTCTCAGCTTGTTTTTTTTTTTTACCCTAACGCACTGGTCCTCAGCATGTTGTTGGATGCTGCTGCCCCGCGTGTCGTGACTGTCGTCGTGCTGTACATTTACAAGTTAAACCTTTTCATCCCAATACTTGCTCCCCCCACCTTCCCGAGAACATGATAATCTGCCCTTTGTTTTTGCTCACACTCACACACACACACACTCACACACACAAGAAGTCAAGCACCGACACACAAGATCCACCTTGGTTAATACTGGACAGATGCTGACGATAGGGAACATGTACAAATCAGCCATTGAGCTACAGACCGATGTGTGTGGTCATTTTTCAGTGAAGAAGAAGAAGGTTTGCTCTTGTCTCACAGTGAAGTGTGTGTCTTTACCACTAGACTTGGTTTGAAAGGTGTTCCACTCTGGTACATTCAGTGTTTAACAAAACACAAACTGTTTAACAGTTCAAAAGAAGATCATGAGGCCTTCACTGTGTCTTTTTCTGCAGCCTAGTTCCCTTTGGGAACAGTTGATGAGGAAATAAAATTTACCTATGGATATAAACGCAATACTAGTACTTCAGCCCTGTCTCCTATGTACTCATTAGTAATTACATGTATTTCGTGAAGCACTTTGTAATCTTATTGAGATTACTGCTATACAAATAAAGTTATTATCATATTATTATTACATTTATATCCATATATTCGGTCTCAGTGGGAAGTAGTATTGAAGGTGAGATCTTTGCCGGATTTCATTCATTTTAAAGTGTATATTTAGTGGTACAGCAGACAAGTTCATGACATGAATGTGTTGTATTGGCATTGGCAAAGCTGAAAATGCTGACATATCAATGCTAACAAAATTAACATACCAATTGACTGGCCCTCATTTTAACCAGATAAAAAATAACCATCAACAGTAGATGATAATGTTTTAATGACAATGGCTATTTCAGAAGAAACTTTGGTCAATATATCAACTGTTATGCTGCCAGCAGAATTTTCATGTTGCAGCTACAGTGTGAGTATTGTATTGTTTATTGTGAGTTGTTAGTATTAACAACACTGCCATAAATCCAGTCACCAATAGATAATTACAAATCCCAACTGAGTGTCTGTGTTTGCTGCTCCTAGATGTAATTTAATTGGAGCTGCAGTCAGAATTATTTAGTCTATATGATTATTTCGTAGCTGGGCATATATAGTGTGTCTATTTTTTATTTATTTTTGAGGAGACCACACATTAGTCACTGTCTGTAATTGAGCCAGTGTTACCCAGCCATAAGGCTAATTTGAATTTGGCAGGTTAACACATACAAACCACAGACAAGTGAGAATCTACAGTAATGATGCAACATCCACTGGCTATATATAGCAATGTGAAGCTGCATGAAGCAACAAAACTTGAGGAAGCAATATTAATTTCAACACTTTGCACTTATTCAGGAGGCAGAGCAGCATTAAGCAATAAGACATATATCTTAACTAGTGGGAGACTATTAACTTTAGTATACGGTTTGTAGAGATAGATTATAAGCCATGCAGCATAAGAGAAATGTTTAATACAATTATCCTATACATTTTTACGTGTAGCTTGAAATTCCCTATATAAAAGAATATTGGAGAATAAGGAGCCTGTTGACCTTTGCTGACTGTCTGGAAAGAAGTATATAACATTGCAGCGTTCGGTGAAAATCCCGTAATAGTTGAAGGGAATTAGATTTCAAATTCTCTTCACCTCGCACATTAACATGCGAGGCTGCACTGCACACTAATTACAATAATTGGATGTTAGCTCATTACCACATGTTGTTCCTGTATAATAAGGTATCTTGTGAGGAGCCTGTGTTCAGCACAATTTCACCTGACGTTTGCTCTAATGATCCTGAGACTTAATTGCACTTTGCTACAGTTAGAATACAGATCCTGGTCTAATGGGTGATAACGCTCACTAAACCCAGCTGGACTTTCACAATTTAACAAACAGAAAGTGTTTCTGTTATTGTTTTTTCTCCCCCCCCTCCACCATCAACATAAAAATATCACAGTGTTGAATGCTTTTATTACAATCATCATCATTATCAGTATGAATATTATTTTTGTTAATGTTGTTAACAGTGTAAAAAAAGTTGTCATGAAAATGCAGCTAAGACACTGTAGAACACATTTTCGAATATTTCTCTGCTGCAGTATATCGTCACAAGTCATATTTTAGCATACATTGTTAAGTTAATGTCTAATTAGACTAATATCTATTCACATTGTTAGCTTTTTGTCCTTCCGTGAGAGCATTTTAGCGCATTAAACCACATTTAGAGAGGTGTATATGGAAAGACTTTATATATGTTGTTTTAAAAAGTCCGATCAATGACAAAGAGTGGGTTGTTGAGGAGGCCTGAGTTTATATACCGCCTGTTTCAGTCTGACAGGCTGCATAACAGGACATTTGAGATAAATAAAGACACCATTTGAACTATGAATCATGCAAAGCTGCTCTAGTGGAGTCCCAGAATAAAAATATAGAGCCTTTAAATATACGTTTAACACAAACAACTCTGCAAAGCATGAGAGACTGCTTCTTCAAATATCAGAAACAATGCACATATATAAAGACATGACTTCCACTGTGTCATCTCTTTCATCCAGAGATGATTTGCAGCAATGCTTATTCCTCAGATAAGAAACCCACTCACGGATATTTTACAACATCTGAGTAAAGCAATCAAATGTAAACCCATCTATCTATGGGTAAGTTATAATTTCACAACCCAGTCTGGACTTTGACAGAACATCCAGGTCTCCAAGGTTGTAACAGGAGGACGACAAGACTCTGAGGATCAATCATTCACTCCTGGTGTGTCTTCCCAGATGAATCTAGGATGATTACTGAAGTTTGGAATCATGAGTTACTGTCAGTGAGATGCAAATCTGTTCCTGTCAAGTCACAGTTTAGTGAAACAAGTGTCGACTCCCCAATCTGTGCTTTTTATGCTGTTGGCGTTTCATGTGATGCTTAATCACCCTCTTTGTTTTCCAGGTTCAAATAATCATTTATAGTATTTTGACAGAAGCTCATCAGTGTCAAAGCATCGCCCTGGAACTACATTACTCGTTGCAGCAATATGTTTTACAGCTTATTTTTTACATGCTCATTGCATTACATGATGCTCATCAGCCTTTGCTTTTTTATTTTTCATTCAGTGGCAAATGCCTTTCACGACTGGTGCATTCTAGGGAAATAAAAAAAAACATGCCAGGAAGGATTGTTGCCTTTACATTTTTACATCATAGCAGAAAAAAATGTAAAATTGAAATGCAGTGTAGAAAGAATGTAATAAAAAGGGTTTTTTTTGCAATTCAATATGTTATTTACTGTACTTGCTGTTCAAATATGTTTTGTCACAATTATAACTCTATTTTGCTTCTCTAAAATCCAGACCATTTTCTCTTCTTAGTTTCTGATACAGATCTATATCTAAATGTAAGGGCTCAACAATGTGATTACTGCTAAGATACACCTCAACTAAAGTTCAGCTATTTATTAAAAAAAACATTTATTTGAACATATTTGTTCCTGTTACAAACACCAGATTCCACTGGTTGTTACTTATTGCTGAGATCAGTTTCCACATTTTTCCTGTTAGCAGCAGTCAGCAACATAAACCACTGTATCTCCATTGTGAGAAAGAAACATCAGAATTAAATCAAGACTTTGTTACTTCCATGTTATGGTTACCATCTTGGCCTTTAGACTCCAAACAGCTCTGGATAAAAAAATAATATGTAGGATGGTGCTTGTTTCAGTGCATTGCTTTATGCACTGAAACACATTCCCACCATCAGTTTCATGCACTGTGGCAGCAAAATTATTATTCTCTCAATCTTGGATCTTCATTCAAAGTTGTGCACCTGAGTTGCCACTGTGTTAGTTGAGTCTTAAAGCCGTGGAGGGTGGGAGTGCATTAACCCGGTTTACCCACTCTCTTGGGACTCTTAAAGTAAAGCTAACGCTATGAGGATGTCATTCTATTTGTTGGGGAATTTTGACATATTTGTTGCACAAACAATTCCAAGTGCAGAAGAAAACACCAAAGAGAAGAGGAGGAATCTGAGAGCAGACACTTAACGTGTGCACAAACACAGTGTAAGCGCGAGAAGAAGAGCTGAAGCGCAGGAAATCAGAGAGCAAGATCACATTTTGAGTACAAGCAGATGAAGTCTAAGCTCAAGCAGGGACTATCTGAGTGCAAGCACAGGGTATTCAAAGACACTCTTGGACAAAGACAGTAAAGATATCCATACAAAACCAATTGAACTAAGAAAGTGTAAATACTATTACAAACAAACGCCCCTTTCTTTTGTAAGAGGAACAATGTGAGCAATATGTCAATTTAACCCCACTCAATATTATTGAACTAGGACCATGAAGGTGCACAGCAGGATCCCTGACACTGTGTCTTTATGGGAGAAATTCTGCCTTTAGAGAAGATTATGCAGATTACGAAGAGAGAAGCTTCAAAGGAACGTCACATATAAAAGTCTGTTGTCAGAATCCAAGATAAATAAGTCCACTGCTAACATCCAGTACACAAACAAACCGACTTCCCTTTAACTGCGAGCAGCTGAGGCAGCAGCATTGAGATCAATCACCAAGAACTATGGATCGAACAAACACACACACACTAAGTTTTATTAATGCTTCAAATGGGCCTTAGATGATTTGAACTGTTATGTGATATTTTATTGCTTCGTCACGACTGCCTCGTCTCACTTCCTTTCCCCTGTTTCTTCTCTTGTGTTGCAGTATGATCTACTCCTTGGTTACCTCATAACAACTGATTTATACTACAGAGAAATAGAAAAGGCCTCTGGAGTCACCGACTGCCCTTTGTGTCAGTCTAGAATTGAAATGACAGGAAATTTCAAAGAAAAGACAATGAGAGAAACATGTTTTGTGTTGTGAAGCCAAACGATGAACACGTCGGGGCTGAAGCTCATTTTCTGCTCTGCCCCTCGCCCCCAAAGAGGAAAGGACGTGCTTTACGCTCGACTGTACATAAAAACTGAAGACTAAATCTGCTGTTTACAGTCTGATTGGTCATAGCGAGACCCAAGTTAATCACTGCCTGGCCAATGTTTGTATCACACACACACATAAACACACACATCCTCTGAGTGGTACCATACTCACTGTACAGTAGCAGTGCCGGTAGCCAGGAGGACGAAGAGCACAGTAGCGTTTGCACAGTTTGTCTCAGGCACAGCACATGGTGAAGCACTGTCCAGCCCAGCGCCGCTCGCCGACCCTCAGTCATTCCTCGCCGACGCCTCGCCAACCGTAGCTTCCCCGGTGAGTCCAAAACGAGGGGTGGATGGACGAGTGGCCGGATGGTTCACACTGTACAGAAAAGAGAAATGAGCTCTGGAGGAAGCACCAGGGTGGAGAGTTCTCTTTGTATCTCCCCACAGATGGCACATAACAGTCCACAGCCTGTGGACTACTCTTTCTAACATTATGTGAATGGCTTTTGTGACGTGTGCATTTTTGGTGTATTCTTTAACAAAAGGCATTTCTAATTGATCTACGGCAAAAGGTATTCTATACAGCAAAAGCCTTCTTCGTGTTGTCCTCGTGTTGTTCTATTGTGGGAAACTTTTCTAAAACTCAAGCAGAAGTAAAACCACAAAAAAACTGAAACCTGTCAAAGCTTTTATAGTAGAGGAGCACACATTCTTTGCACAAATAGTGTCTTTGATCTTGCACAATATTCGCAATATTTGGCTATATATTAGAAATGATTTATGATAGTCTAGCCACACAGGTGACGGTCTTCCAACATGTAAAGAACTATCCAGCCCTGTTTGAAGATGGGGGGGGGGGTCTTTTCTAGCTCTATTTACACCATGGACCAAAATGTTGTCTTTCCAGTATTTGAATTGATTTATTTATTTATTTATGTCTATTTGTGAGATACTGACAGCTTGCCTCCATACTCTAAAATAAGAATAAGAGGAAGTGAAAGGTGTCTAGAAATAATCTTTCTCAGTGATTTGAATAAAAGCAAAAGTAGCAGACGATGCAAATAATATTTGAGAAACTGCCTGAGTATAATGACATGTTATATAATTATTTCCCGGGGATAAAGCTCCCTTCCATATACAGGTTAGATGTCAGTAACATCATCCCTTGCAGATGCAGGGAACTCCCAGACAATGCAGGTGATTGGACCTCCCCTTTCCACATGTAGCAGTTTGCCACCTTTAGATATTTTAGGGCCCGTGCACACCTGGTATTAACATGTGGTTTTTGTGATCTGAAGACGTCACATGAGACACATTCAGGATGCATCTTAATGCCAAGTGTGAACACACGTACTTATCACTGGCTACTAGTGATTGGATCTCTCAGGACGGATGTTAATACCAGGTGTGTAGATCGCCACTGTCATCCTTCACTTGATCACTGACTCAAGGAGCAGATAGGAATGCCCACTTCTTGTTGTTTTCTCTAATTCTAAGTCATTTTCTATCCTAATGTGTATGTGACCAACCAAGTAAAATTTAGATATTGTTTATGAAATAAAGGTATTTTAAAATCAAGACTTGGTGTCCATATTTTTGAACTCGCCATACTTTTGTCTATATATTTTGTTTAAATAGGATTTAATACACAGATGGTGCAGAATCACCACGTGAACGAGATATCTAACTTTTAATGCAACATGTATGTGAACTATTCACCCGCACAGACAGTTCCTATGGTTATTGGACAGGATTTGTTTCTGTACATGATGCAATGATTCATCTGCTCTATATGCAGGAGGACACAGGTACAAATCCGAGGATTGTGTATGTTGTGCTGCACTGCTTGACTGTAAGTAATTCAATTTAAAACCAAAGTGTGCCCCTCAGACCATAATAAAATCAGGTGATAAAAACCCCTTATTTTTTGTATCAATCCAATTCATTTTTAATGCATAGCACCAAATCTTAAGATATACGTCATCTCAAGGCAATTTACATTTACAGGATTATAGAAAAACACAACAGTTCCCACATTTAGCAAACACACAGTCTTCTTTCTGTGCAAAAGCATTCCACCAACATTCCACCATGATTGAACATGAATAAGGATTCAGACGTACGGTTGGTTACAATAAGTGTTTTCCACAGAATATCACTAAGAAGCTAAATAGAAGCCACACTGCTTTAAAAACACAGAAAGTTACATTTCCTACCTCCATTTATTTACTCAGCATTTGACATCCACTCTCCTTTACCTCAGCAAAACCAGCAAAACTACAGTTTACCATCTATTAAAACTCCTGCAATGGTGAAAGTACAGATACATAAAGTGCCAAATGTAATTGCAGTACATGAATCAAAATGAAACAGGTAACAGCCGGACTGGAAAACACAGAAAAAAATTGATGATAGAGATGGGAAACACAGAGATGACAGGTTCAAGGAAATGAATGAAGTCAGACAGTCCGGCCAGGAAGTGACACAGAGGAGCAGACTGAGATGACTGGTTTGAACTGCATCAAACTGCACATTGCATGGTTAAATTGATCACTGACTGTGACAGAATAGTTTTAATGTGTGTGTAGTGTTTGTGTGTGTGTGAGTGTGTGTGTGTGTGGGGGCTGTGGCAGACCGGCAACGACAGATTGCAACGACAGAACAGTCTGTCTTCCCAGTATGCACCTGGGTGCTGTCCACATCACTGCCATGTATTTCATTTCATTATAATTAAACCGGTCACACACCGGTCTGACCTTTTGGCTCTTCATTGTTTATGTGTGTCTGTGTGTGTGTGTGTGTGTGTATATGTGCAGACTGATTTGATGTATCTGCATTAGTCCCCCCCCCATCCCACTCTGCACCTCCTCCTCCCACCCCTTTCTCTCTTTTCCCCAAATCCTCACCAGCGCTCCTCTTAAAGCTGTGAAATTACACTGAGCTCTTGTCCTCCGGCTCTGGCACACTGTGCTCAGCCCTCTGGAACCTGAGGTTTGTCTGTAAAATTCTGTTTCCTCAACTTTTCACAGTGATGGAGCCACTTTTGATCTCACGCTGTATGGGACCGACGCTCGCTGATGCATTTTGCTACTGTGTCTGTGACTCACGTAGGGTTCAAACATACACTTTTTCCAAACTGTGAATATAGGACACTGAGTCAGTTTTTGTAGAATGGAGTGACATGGGGCACAGGAGAGCTTAAGCTTATCTAGGTTAATTGCTTTGTTCACGGAAATGTTTTATTCCAACCTAACTCCAATCATGTCAACTTGGTGTTGCCATTGGACATCACTGATTCCATTGGCTCCAATTATTGAACTTTGGTGGAAGTTTGCAAAACTGCTCAGCTAAATTTTAAGACAACATAGATAAAACCAATAACTTTTGATAATACTAAGTTCTAGGATTATTGTTCCCTCACAAATGTTTCTATAGTCAGTTGTTCATCCTGATGTTCAGGTTTAACAACATTGGGACCACTGTCTGTCTTATTGAGCCAGCGAGTCATCTTTTCTTGAGTGCTGCTTCCTGACTCATCCACTCTGTCCTCAAAACACCTCTCAAGTCTTCTGCCACCTTTTCAACACTCCCCAGGGAGCTGGAGTCCTTTGTTTTCACGTTACCGCAAAAACTTTTGTCTTTCACCATTTTTTCTTTTGTTTGTTTCACTACACGTCCTTCAGTCTCTTTCACTATCCTCCCCTGAGATCACTTTATCCTCAGACACTGAGCGGGAGAGAGAAGGGTAGGGGTGGCAGATGCAGTTAAGCATTATGGCATTTGACGTGTGCAATTGAGCCATCCTGCAGAGCTGGATGGGCAGTCTGTCAGCGCCCCTTGTGCTTCATATGGCAGTGCTGTCAAACTGCATTACTCACAGCGCCACTGGTGACAGGAGGACGATTTCACCTGTGTGACCAGTGTGCATCAAACAGGATTACCAACAGTTCACAGGTCCGTTAACGGATTCAAGTCATACTGCAGATGTACCCTAATGATAAAAGTTTGGTTTGTTTATTTAGTTTTGTGAATGCATCTCAGACGTTACTTAGAAAAGATATCATGTCCACACATACAAATTAGTTTTGCACACTTTCTAATCCCTTTTTGGTTGGAGATGTTGGTGTTTATCTCCCTCTACAATCCATTATTAAATGTTGTTAAAATACGGTGCATCTTGTGCTGATATCTATGAGTGGCACTTGTGTCAGCTGTGGACCCTACGGTCTGTCAATCAACAAACTTACAAATCACTAAATCTGTTTTATGATGAAGGCTCTTCATCTTAAGGATTACTATCTCATAATTACTGAAGCCGCTCTGCTTTGTTGCTTTGTCCAAATGCATGTCATTATGGGCACTTGCTGAAGTGACCTATGTTGCAATTTTTATTGACAGAGCAGTACCGTTGTGTTGTTGTGTTATTAGCATAATCTTTCCTGCAATTTCCTGCAATGAAAAATTGTGCAACAATCCAGGCTCTATACAAGGTAAAGAAAGTTTAGGAGCATAAAAACATAATAAATGAATATAATTCTGTTTATGGCCTGTGAGACAATCCATAATTATGAAAAAGCAACTTAGATATATCAAAAACAAAAAAAAACTCATGACAGCAATTAATTGTGTGTTCACAGCGTAGCTAGTAACCCGCAGCTAAATTGGAGGAGTGACCAACACAAGAACACATTCTAACAGAGACACAATTTTGTGGTGAGCCAGCTAATAGCTAAGAAGCTGTAACCTTATCCAGAAGGAGAACTTGTTAAAGAGCATGGTTGTCAGAATAATCGGAAGAATAAGTTCTCAACAGGGAAAATTCCCATTAACGCCACATCAAGTCAGAACAACGCCTCAGAAAGTCTGCAAAGATTAAACCAATCAACATTTAATCAGCTGGAAATAGTAGCCTCTTATTTGAACTTGTCAATATTCACATTTTTTGGATTAACATGCACACATTTTAAATTATTTATGATCCTTTTTCTTCGTTACCAATGCAAATATTGAAATGGAGTCGATTAGTTGTTTGAATACTCTAAAAGGAGGCGCTTCAGAGGAGCACATGAACGCACAGAAAGTCAAAATGTTCCAAAGTGTTAGTACATCTTGAGGAAATGTCACAGAGTTGATTGGTGATATGAAATCATTAAGATGCAAAGAGTATTTAGGGGGGGGGTTGATGACGCTTCTAACACGTGAACTCCTGGTGAAAAAGTGGTGACATACATGTAGAGGACACCAACAAA